CCTTGGAAACCTTATACAGGGTCACTGTGGGTCGGAACCAACTTGATGGCACTTAACAACAACATAGGGTTCTTTCTGACGACCTTTTGGTTAGTGGCCAAGCACTTTAACCCTGACATTAAAGCCTCCTACTCTAAGTCCTGGTGTGGCGCCGTAGGATCAGCACTGGACTGTTAACCTCAGGGTTGTCTGTTCAAATCCACCAGCCATTCCTTGGAAACCCAATACAGGGTTGCTATGAGGCACTTAACAACAACAACTCTGTAACAGCCCAGCATGCTGACACCATACTGGACTGTTCCTTGTATTCTACACCTAGCTAGGCAGTGAGGACTAGCTCTTGGTCTTTAAAAAAGAAGAAACAGACACCTTAAGTATCAGCCTACTTTACTCTGCCCACGTGTGACACCATCGTTCCGAGCAGGAAGAAGGGAAGTATTGGCTGGGCAGCAGCATTCTTCCTGGGACCTCTGACCTACAAAAGGTATTCTGAAATGGTTTCAGTATTGTCATCGTGATATCGAAACATGCCCCACAGATTTCAAATGGTTCTAGTGTGTCATGTATGTTAACATAGATCTGCTCCAGTAACTTAACACATTTAAAAAGCAGTCCTCAAATCTAAAAAGGCCGTCGTTTAATGTTCTAAGTGATAAGGCCTTTCAGAGGACAAGGGCTTCAGAGAAAATGGAAATGCTCAGAAACAGATCAGTGAAATTTGTTATTTCAGGGTGACACTTTTATAAGGGGGGAGGTCCTGGTGTGGCGCTGTGGGTCAATGCACCAGACTGCAAAGTCGTTTGAACTGCAAGGTTAGTGTTTCAAGCTCGCCTGCTGCTCCTTGGAAACCCTATACAGGGTCGCTATGGGTTAGAATCGACTTGACGGCACTTAACAACAACAACAACGTGATGGCTGGAGTCCTAGTGTGGCACTGTGGGTTAATGCGCTGGACTGCAGTTAGATCAAACCACAAGGTCGGCAGTCCAAACTCACCAGCCACTCCTTGGAAACCTTATACAGGGTCACACTGTGGGTCGGAACCAACTTGATGGCACTTAACAACAACATAGGGTTGTTTTTTAAAAGTAATATTTTATAAGAGTCCTGGTGTGGCGCTGTTAGATAAGCACTAGACTGTTAACTATAAGGTTGGCAGTTCAAACCCACCAGCTACTCCTTGGAAACACTTGACAGGGCCACTATGAATCAGAATCGACTCAATGGCACTTAACAACAATAAAGTTTGATAATATAATGCTACTAGGAAGGGGAGGAAGACAGTGAGGCTGATCCAGAGGAGAAGCCCAGTATCTCTTCCTCCAGTTAACCTACAGCTGATCCCTTACCTCCATCTAGTCCACTCTGTGACAATGCAGGAAAACTGGATGCTGAGGCTTGAGCAGATGAATGCATTTCATTTGTCTTTTCAAAACTGCCAAAAGGCTCTAAAATTATCAGGTGTGTTAAGGGAAGGCTCAGCTTTCCAACAACCTCCACCTTTCTTCTATTGGTTCTTTCAACACAGATCTGCATTTGCCTCCTCAGTTTCCACCACAGCTTGCTTAGCTACAGCTACAAATTAAGACGCTTCCTAGACTTTAAACAGGATTAGACTATTTCCATAAACTCTGCTCTCTCCACATAACGCAGTCTCCATTTCCTCTCAGCACCACGTAATTTTGGAAAAGCGATTCATCCCCTTCTGTTTGTGTTTAAGGAGGCTGTACAACCTTCTTTATGTCTCCCATTCTAGTATAATGTGGTGGTGGTCAACGTAACAGGTAGGAAAATATGGAAGCCACCTCTCTCCACATCTAACAGGATCTGGAGAGGACACCTGGGTTATGGTTTTATCTACCAAAAAGGATCAGAAGACATGGGCATACCTCTCATCATCCATCTCTAAGCTGGATTCACTCTCGGAGAGCTGTCGACAGAGGGCTTCTCTTCTCTCCATCTCCCTCTGCAGTTTTCTCTGCAGCCTCAAGTTCTCTTCCCTCATGTGGCGTTCTTCCTCCAGATACTGCGCCATCTTCTCGGAATCTGGAGAGCCAGAGTACCCCATTAAACCACACTCCTTGCACTCAGTCTCAGACCTTAACAACCACCACAAAACCCACTGCAGGAATTCTCACACAGGAGAGCCACCCAAGGATGAAACTTGTGATTTACATTTAGAAAAGTAGATAAAAGTCAGTGAAGTGAGGCACCTTCACTCCCTAACACATGCATTCTAATGTGCTTTAAGTGGCAGAGAATGTGTGGAATTAAAGCTAAGTTTGGATGTGGTAGTGACTAGAACTCTTCTCTGTGCTACTGCAGTTGGAAGCAAGGGAGCCAAGCAGGGAACACAGACTCTACCCACAGGCTCCCCTGAGAGCTCCAGTTTGCTTGCCCCTCAAATCCTTATGTAACATGGCCAAGTGATGGGTGGGAGCCTGCAGTGCTTGTTAGCGCCCTCACCTGGCACAGTGCTGGAAGTACATGGAGAATTCTGTACTAGAAGACAACTCTCCAGAACTCTTTGCATTCTTTTATAATAGAAATGGACACAGTAAGCAATAAACCTTTACTTAAATCTCTTTCATTGAAGGCATGCTGGGAAACATATTTACCAAAAATATTTACATTTTTCATAAAAGGAATTTAAATGAAATTCGATGGATATTTAAAATAAGTCTGATTTTCAGTGTGTACACAATCCTTGACTCCTCGGAAGCTCTTCTGTGTCAGGCAGCAGGTGAAGAACCGTGCTGCCCATACCTCTTAGCATAGTGCCCTGTCCTAACAAGCACTCCTTGATCTGCGATGGCCCCCATAGATCCAGAGGTCTAGTAAGTATCGGACTCCCCAGCAGGGCTAGGTGCTGGACTGAAGCTGAGGCCAACTGGGCTCTCTCCTAGGAATTGGAAATGTTGAACCGACATCTTCATGAGGTTCTAGGATCTCCTCGTGCAGCATTCCCCAGAGCACCTGCAGCACCTGGTCCTCAAGAGGTTATTCTGCATCTAAGATTCTATGGCATATTCCAGCACTCTTTCAATAAATTGCAAAGCATGACCCTTCCTTTTTCTGGTTTACCCCATAGAATTGATTGTTACTCGTCACCAGAAGAGGGCACACAAAAACTCGGTGTCTACCCATCTACTGGCTTCCTCCCTTTCTCCTGCCTCAGCCAAACAACTTGGGAAAAAAGAAAATCTCCAGACACTTCTCTTTTCTGAAAAATAACCACAAATTCAGAGAAGCCACAACCAGGTCCAAGAGAAAATCCTCTGGGCCATTGATCTTTAAAGAAGAGAAAATAAAGAAGGAAGCAAGGAACTGGCTACTATTGTCAACTACTTTTCTCCCACAAACTGGCCCTTCTAGAAGTCCCAAAGGTCATCAAGTTAGTTACAGTTACGGTTTTCAATGTTTACCAAGCAATGGTTGTTTTTACAATACTTAATGATTTTTGAGGCAGCATCACTATAGAATATATAAATGTTCTCAACTATCCGTATTTTGGAGTCCGTGTGTGGCACTGTGGGTTAACGCGCTGGGCTGTAAACTTGGTTTGAACCACAAGGTCGGCAGTTCAAGCTCACCCGTCTCTCCTCGGAAACCCTATGCAGAGTCGCTATGGGACAGAACCAACTTGACAGCACTTAACAACAACAACAGATCCTTATTTTTGCAATTTAAACAAAAATGCTAAAGTCATTGAACACTTTCATGGGAATAAGGAAGACCATAGAAGAATCAATGCATTTAAATTAGGGTGTTGGCAAAGAATACTGAATGCACTGTGGACTGCCAGAAGAACAAACAAATCTGTCTTGAAAGAAAGAACGCTTCTCAGAAGTGAGGATTGTGAGACTTCATATCTAGTTCTTGGGCCATGTTGTTAGGAGGGGTCAGTCCCTGGAGAAGAACTTCATGCTTGGTAAAGTGGAAGGTCAATCAAAAAGAGGAAGACCACACAACAAGATGGACAACACAGTGGCAGCAACAAGGGGCTCAAAGATAACAATTGCGAGGGCGTCGCAGGGCCAGGCAGGGTTTCTTTCTACTGTGGATAGGGTCAGAAACGTCTCGACAGCTTCTAACAACAATATTATATGCACTCAACATTAACTCCCTTGGTTGTTTTCAATATAACCAGAAACCTTGCTGACTAATCCAGATGCAAACAATCTTTTTAATTGAAAGCATGCTGGGAAAATATTTACAAAATACACTTTAATATAAATGATTTAAATTATTTCAACCCAAATATGCAACCATGCAGAACTTTTCATTCGCTGTAAGGAAGTTATAGATTGCTGTCCCTACAACCTACACCCATAGGATAAGCACTGAACCCCAAGGCCAGCAGTTCAAATTCATCAGCCCCTCGTTGGAAACCCTATACAGGATCGCTATGAGTTGGAACCGACTCAACGGCACTTAACAACCTTAACCCCCCTTCACGGAACATTTACTGCTTGTAGAGCCAGAAAGTTAACTCTCAGAACAAGTTACCTTTCTTTTTTCCTTCAATAAGAAAGCCTGAGTTGATGATTCATGAGTCTCTAAGAACAAGAATTTAAGAATCCTAACTTCTTCCATCTTCCAAAGAAAATGGCAATACTTGAATGTCAGAGTACCGTATCCGGGGATCCTTAAATGATCATGTAAGACAAGAAAGTTGTCCGGTGGCTGGAAGACTTTGTGGCAGTTTAGCAATTAACACAGAAGCCGGTGGTGGAAAGGCAGCCTCAGACCCACGCCTCCCGATGGTTCTGATTCCAGTCCAGAGTTTGCACCAACGTGCTCCTAGAGTGCCCTCTGCTGACACACTGCCACATCGGATAGCTGCAGCTATACCAGACTTATAATAGCGGCTCCAGATTACATTTTCTTCATCACAGACCCTCTCGTAGCCAAAGAGGATATCGAGGGTGATTTCCAGACAGACTCCAAAGAGTGGATCTTCAGTGATCCAAAAGTGTTTGGTTAGAAAATACCAATCTGGTCTCCACTCCAGATGGATAAAATCAGAATCCCTGAAGACAAGGCCTCGGCACTGGTATGTTAAAGCTCACATGAGACTGTGAGGCTCAGACAGATGTGAGAACCACTGGGAGAGAGGTTCAGGTTCAGTTGGGTTTGAAGTTTCAGGGGCCAACTGCCACCGCACATCCAAGGGAGCTGAGGGTCACTGGAGCTAAGGCGGGTGAGGCCGATGGATGCAGAAGAATCGTTCGGGTACCCCGTAAACCTACTCCCAACCACAGGAAGCAGCTAAGTACCACTCACTGCTGCTTCATGTCAGCTCATCGCTGTCCTCACAGAATCAAAACACCACTTACGGCATCTGTAGTCTCCTCAAATAGTGCAGTTGGGCGGATGCAGGGGAAATGAAAATATTTTCCTAAATGTCGAGAAAATTTTCTAGAGCTCCACAAGACAGGTTGATATGAGGAAGGTAATACAAACCGGTGGCACTAAGAGGGGTTCAGAAAAGTGCAAAAATAAACGTGGCTACCCAACAGAGCAAAAACATCTTAAAAATAGTTAAATGTGAGAATACTTAATTTCTCTCATTTGTTTGCAATGGGGTATATACACAACAGTTTTCAACTCAAAGTACACATCAATATATCTTGTATTAAAAACAAAACTAAACAAAAACACAGGCCTTACCCCGAAATAAAAATATGAGATGGGCAGAATGATGACCTCCTAAACATGTCCACATCCTAGTCCCTAAACGCTGTGAGTATGTTTCTACCCATGGTTACAGGGACTTCACATGTAACCTCCAGATGAGGAGGGAGATGACCCTGCTGATGGGAATCACGAGGGTCCTTGTAAGACACAGGCAGGAGAGTCAGGGTGAAAGGTGATGTGACCATAGAAACAAAGGCAGGAGGAAGGGCTCATGAGCCTGCACATGCAGGTGGCCTTCTGAAAATGGAAAAAGCTGGAAAACGGACTTTCCCCTTAGAATCTTGCAGAAGGAATGAGCACTGTCAACACTTGACTGCAGCCCAGTCAGACCCACTTTGGACTCTGAATCTCCAAAACTGTGAAGATGGCTGGTGCCCTGCTGAAGGATACCCACTGGGCTGCTACCTGCAAAGTCATCGGCTCCTCACAAACCCTATAAAGGGCCACTGTGAGTCAGAACCAACAAGACAGCACTTAACAAGAACAACAACATATAGGACCCTGGTGCACCATCCCAGATGTACCGCTGGACTGGAAGGTGCAATGAACTTCAGAGAAGAAAACCGAAAGACAAAACTACTGACATTTTAAATCTACATTCCACTTGACCCAGCAATTTCACCTAGAATGCATCCTGCAGGTGTTCTTGTACCAGTAACAAATGTGTGCACAGGGAGGCTCACTGCAGCATTGTTTGAAATAGCAAAATTTCCAAAAACCACTTAAAAAGGGTGATGGGTACCAGACAAGTTAAATAATATCCATACAATTGAAAAGTATATAGCCTTTAAAAATAGAAGGCACCTCTTTATGTTGTGTGGTGTCCAGTCATTTCCAACTCACCTCAACCCTACAGGGTTTCCAAGATGGTCATCTTTGTGAAAGCTGATTGCCACATATTTCTCCCACAGTGTGGCTGCTGTGGTCCAACCTCTGACTCTGCAGCTAGCAGGTGAATGCTTAACCACTGTACCACAGGAGAAAAAACTTCAACATGTAGTAAGTGAAAATGTAGCTGTTGGTGAGTGCTGTTGAGTCCGTTCTGCCTCATAGCAACCCTGTACAAGGTTTCCAAGGAGCAGCTGGTGAGCTTGAACCATCGACCTTGCCGCCCAGCACATTAACCCACAGTGCCACACCAACACTCCAATAAGTGAAAATAAAAAGGGGCAAAAAAGTGTGTTCATTGTGCTATTTGTATAAATATAGTTTACAGATATACAGATATTCAAAAACTTGTAGTTGTGGTTGTCTAGGGAGCGGGTATAAGAGGGAGACTTGTTTTTACAGCAATATAAATTACAATGGTGTAAAAGTAAGAGCCAAGAAAATGCACAGAAACCTAATCAAATATTCAGATACTCTGATTTCCAACCCAACATCCTGGCCTTACTCAAAATAATCAGTATAGATTTCTAAAGTGCTTAATCTTTAAGTACCATGAATGAATGTCAGTGGAAGCTAAATTTATTAGTAAAGAAGACAAACACTTTATTTTTTGCCTTAATTCCCCCAAAGTGAACTGAAGGCTTTTACAATGTTCTAGTAAGCATGTTCCTAGAGACAAACATGAGGGTGGGTGGATATTATAAACATAACCTCTCATTATTGGACCCTCCTGAAATGATGTGAATTATGTTCTGAAAGTGTTTTAAACTTTTGTCCTGTTCTACTATAATACATCATCTCCGTAGTGGTTACGAATCGGGCTGTTAACCTCAAAGTCGGCAGTTTGAAACTACCAGCTGCTCCGCGGGAGAAAGATGATGCTTTCTGCTCCCGTGAAGATCTGCAGCCTCGGAAACCCTGTGCAGGGCCGCTATGAGCCGGAACCAACTCCACAGTACTTTCAAGTGGTGGTGGATTCTACTAAATGCAAAAAGAAAAATTCCTGTGCACACATTTGACACATATGTAAGAACACCTGCAGGAAGCCGAATTGCTAGATCAAGCAGAATGTGCATTTACAATGTCAGCAGTTCTTGTCTTTAGATTTTCTTCTCTGAGCTTCACTGCGCATTCCAGTCCAGTGGCACATGCGGGATGATGCATTAAACTTACCTGTGGAGTCCCTCTCCCTCCCCCTCTCCCCACCACGGTGTGGTGCAGCCAACTTTCATCATCACAGTGGCTCCTCACAAGACTTTCAGGATCTAGAGATTCCAGGCCAGGAAGCAAAAGCAGAAATGTCTCGGTGCCCAGTGGATTTTGAATGAAAACTGGTAATAAAATCAAGTACCACTTCTAAGAAGAGATATTGGAGAAAAGCCACTATTTGAACAACTGACCATGTTACATTGGGAAAATTCTGGTTTCTTCCTTGATTTTTTAAACTTCTACATTAGTAAGTTGGTTTAGTGTTACATATGTGAAACTTTTTATTGGAGGAAAAAGAAGATCTATGGAACCTTCAAAAAAGACAGTGCTTTCATTTCCTATAGCTATTATCACAAATTATTACAAACTCAATGGCTTTAACATAACATAATTTGTGATAGAGCATATACATTTACGTGTATATACGTAAACATGTAATCTGTAAGAAGATACAAGGTGAAATTGACTAATGTAAACTCAGTGGTAATTATCAGCAGTACCTATGTTTGATTAACGTATTAATTCTATGACACAAAGGAAGCCAGAGACTACATACGCTGTAACTGAGCAGCTCTCAGTTGCTTCTTCAGCCTCTCCACTTCATTCTTTAAGAACCTGATGTGGCGCATCATGTTTTCTGGTGAGTCAATCTCCATGGCAATATCTCTGGGCGATGGTGGAGCAGAGACAGGCTGGTCTAGTTTCTCCTGCAGGATTCTTCATAGAAAAGAAAAATTCCATCAATAAACAACAGTTTGCTTCTAAAGGATTAAACAAAATACTAGCTGGAGAGCTGGGTTTAATGGCCAGAATCCACCAAACTGCATAAATCCTCTTCCTATTTTACATTCATTTCTGCTGGTTGCCTTTACCTGGTTATCTCAGATCAAAGGGCAGATTTTCAAAATTCACCCTCTTTTTCTTTTTTTTTTTTTTCTGCTTTTAAATGACTACTGTTAATTACACGTTCAATATTTGGTTCTGGTTATTATCTCTGGTGTCATTGTAGGGAATGCACTGGACTCCTAACAACAAGGTTGGTAGCTAAAACCCACCAGCTGCTCTGCATGAGAGAGATGAGGCTTTCTGCTCTGGTAAAGATTTAAAACCTTGGAAACCCTATGCGGGGTTGCTACTGTATCAAAACCAACTCGATGGCACCTCCCAATAACAACATAGTAGGTTCTCAGAATTAGGTGCTAACTAAATATACAGCATGTTGCTTTCAGAGCAAGGAATTCTGTTCTCTAGTACTTTTGGTTATAACATATAAACTACCTACTGTGAATGCTGGAGTCTCTGGGTGGTGCAAAACGTTAGCGCTTGGCTATGGCTACTAACCCAGAGATTGGTTGTTCAAATACACTGGTAAGTTCCTCGGAAGAAAGGCCTGCCAATCTCCTCCCAACAGATCACCTTCATTAAACCCTATGGAGCACAGTTTTACTCTGGATACACATAAGGTCACCATGAGTTGAAATCAACCCAAGGGCAGTTGGTTTGGTTGTTTTGTTTAGGAGGCTGGAGACACACAATGTTTAATTACTACAGTGAGAGAAGAGATTCAACTTCTAAAATTCCCTCTAGTAAAACAGATCCCAAGGGGTGAACCGAGGGCCCTTTGCTACTGACTGAAGCAAAATCACTGAAAGTGGCGCTAACACTTGTCAGTGTTAGGTTGAATCACATGAGAGGGTTGATAAGCCCAACAGCTTCTGACCTACAAACTGACAGTTTCATATTTTTCAGCTTGGTGATTGGAGATTAGGAGCTCTGGTAGCGTAGTGGTTATGAATCGGGCTGCGAGCCAGAAGGTTAGCAGTTCGAAACTACCAGCTGCTCCGCGGGAGAAAGATGAGGCTTTCTGCTCCGGTAAAGATTTACAGCCTTGGAAACCCTGTTCAGGGTCACTATGGGTCGGAACCAACTCAACGGCACTTAACAACAACAACAACATAGGTAAGGCTCCCAGGAGCATTCTATAAAAGGAACCTTCTATAAACTGCTGGGTTCTTTGGTTTGGGTTTGATTTTTAACTGCTTACACCTCTGAGTTTGACAAAGGTGAGCTGTGAATTACCTCCAAGTCTGTCATTATTGAAAAAACAAATAGGTTAAATATATAATGGTTTCTATATTTGCTATAAAGGAATTTTGGTAGCGTAGTGGTTATGAATTGGGCTGCTAACCTCAAGGTCAGCAGTTCAAAACTACCAGCTGTTCTGTGGGAGAAAGATGAGGCTTTCTGCTCCTGTAAAGATTTATAGCCTCGGAAATCCTGTACAAGGTCGCTATGAGTCAGAACCAACTCTGTGGCACATAACAACAACATTTGTTATAAGGAGCTCTGGTAGTACAGTGGTTACGAGTCAGGCTGCTAACCTCAAGATCAGCAGTTCAAAACTACCAGCCATTCCACAGGAGAAAGATCCCGTAAAGATTTATAGCCTTGGAAACCCTAAGCAGGGTTGCTATGAGTTGGAACCGATTCCCTGGCACACCACCACCACCACGAACACTACAAATGTTATACTAAACAGCCTTTCATAATTCTACTTATTAGTACTGTTACAGTAATGTAGAGTCTTGGTATGGTGCTATAGGATAAGCACTGGACTTCTAACTGAAAGGCTGACGGTTCAAACCCACCAGCCACTCCTCGGAAATCCTATACAGGGTCACTGTGAGTCGAAAGCAACTTGACAACACTACAATGATGTAGAAGGAATCCTGGTCACACCATGGGTTAAGCACTAGGCTGTGAATCTAAAAGTTGGCAGTTCAAACCCACGAGTGGCTTCAAGAGAGAACAATGAGGCAGTGTGCTCCCATAAGAAGCAGCTGTGCTCCTGCAGGGTCACTATGAGTTCAAATCGACTCAGTAACAGTGGGGAGCCACAGTAAGGTAGAAACTAGCTGATCTCGAATATGCCTTACACATATTGTGTATCTGTAACTTCAATATATATGGTATGATCTAGAAATGAATAATTATCGACATTCATCCAATCCAAACACTTACAGCAGAAGATCTTTGGTTAAGAAGCAAGAAAACCGTGGTAAGTGGATTCATGAACATTTTCCTGAAACTCATCTTCTATACCCATAGACACCCTGGGTACACTGAATCTACCCACTGTTCCTCCCTACCTCACCACTCCCCAAGCATCCAGTACTTTAAAAGTATTTAGCATAAAGGGTTTTAAGAAACGTGTGCTATTGAATTGAATGGCATTTCATATCCAAGTTTAACTCTAAGAGCCTTAATGTACAAGTATTTCTTTAGAGAATGTGTTAAAAAATAGATAGCAATTTTTCTATTAAAGTCTTAGGTTTCCTAACGAAGGATGCTAGTTCAATAAGTGAAACTTAAAACTGCAGCCTTCCTAAAAGAGTAATGAATCAATTAAACTTTAGCTCCATTTAAAAACTGCAGCCATCCTTCTGAACCATTTAAAGGTAGACAATAGAACCCATATCTAATTTTGTCATAAGCTTGTAAACATCAAATGAAAAAAAAATATATTGGGATAGAAAGATGGAGAAGAGAGAGGCGCCAACATAGGAGTAGTTCCGAAGCCTTTCAACATTGTCTTGTCACTAACCTATAGCCACCGCATCAACTCTGATTCATCGCAACCCTATGGTGGGGACGGTGGTGACCCTATGTGGGGTTCTGGAGGCTCTAAATCTTTATGGAAGCAGAAATCCTCACCTTTCTCCGCAGAGTGACTGGCAGATTCGAACTGCTGATCTTGTGCTTTGCAGCCCACTACACTGCCCGGGATCCTTACAAGAGAGAGTCAACTGCTCCTTAGGGTTTCCAAGACTGCAAGTCTTTACGGCAGCAGGCAGCATCATCTTTCTCCCACAGAGCTGCTGGTGGGCTCAAAGCACAGTGTCAATCACTCAAACACACTAGCTGCTCCATGGAAACCCTATACAGGGGAGCTGTGAGTCGGAACCGACTCGACGGCACTTAGCAACAACAAATATAAATGATATGCATCAAGGCAAGAAATTTAAATGCCTATTATTCATTTATTGTTATCCACATCCAGAATACACTCTAGACACACACACACACACACACACACCCAAAGGAACAGTAAGACTAAACAAACCGCTTTTCAGCTTCAAGCTTATCCATCCTTTTCCACAGACGATTAACTAGTGCTTCCTGCTCTTGTTCCAATGTATTTTCAAGGTCGATCTTCTCTCGTCTCAACTACAGGGAGGAAAAACAATTTTTACTGAGAATCATAAGCCACTTAAACTCTGGTCATTAGATTTTTTTTCACTGAGCAATTAGGATCTCTTCACTTAAGAAAACACTGCATAGAAATGGCCAGTATTTTTGGCACAAACACATGAGCTGCATCCAGTTCCTAAGCTTTAATTGAGAAAACCAAGACCGATTCATTTGTTCTCAATGTTGTCTAGCACATGGATCACATTTCTTATTTCAGCATTTATTCAAGGCACATGGAAAGTCTTCTTTAAAGAGAATCTGGGAAACTTCTGTTCGCTGGTCATGCCAAAATGTACTAGCGGGCTTCAAAAAGTTCATGGGAAAAACAGAATTAGAAGATTAGAATTGTTCCACAAACTTTTGAAGCCCCCTCATAATTGGGTTTGTCCCCAGTTCTGTTGTTTTTGTTGTGAGGTGCGATCCAGTCAGTTCGAACTCACAGCAACCCTTTGTACAGTAGAACAAAACACTGTTCAGTCCAGCATTATCCTCACTATTGTGGCTGTACTTGAGCCCACTGTTCCAGCACACTGCCAATCGTCTTGTGGAGGGCCTTCCGTTTTTTTGTTGACTTTCTACTTTATTAAGCATGATGTCCTTTTTCAGGGACTAGTTCTTTCTGATAACATGTCCCCAAGTATGAGACGAGACAGGGAGTCTTACATCATCGATTCTAAGGTGCATTTTGACAGCACTTCTTCCAAGACAAACTGGTTCCTTCTTCTCACAGTCTATGGGACACTCAATGTATTTTTGCCCACACCATAATGCAAAGACATCTTTTTGGGTCTTCCTTATTCATTGTCCAGCTTTGTCATTCAGATGAGGCTAGTGAAAATATCATGAGTCAGGCTCACATTCGTGCTTAAAGTGATTTACTCTCAACAACGATTTTTTTTTTTTTTTTTTGCAGCGGATTTGTCCCCTGCAGTAAGTCATTTGATTTCTTGAAAGCTGCTTCCATAAGTGTTAATTGTGGATCCAAGTAAAATGAAAACCTTGACAACTCAATCTTTTCTGTTTATCATGATGTCGTTTATTGGTCTAGTTGTGAGAAGTTTGGTTTTCTTATGTTGAGGTACAATCCACACTGAAGGCTTCATTCAGTCTTTGATCTTCATCAGCAAGTTCTTCAAGTCCCCTTTGCTTTCAGCAAGCAAGGTTGTGTCATCTGCATATAGCAGATTGTTAATGAGTCTTCCTCCACTCCTGATGCCGCGTGCTTCATCATACAGTTCAGCTTCTCAGATTATGTGTCCAGCATACAGATTGCATAGCATGGTAAAAGGATTCAATCCTGATTTTTACTCAGTTCTACATGTAATCAAGAGTCCTGGTGTGGCGCTGTGGGTTAATGAGCAAGACTGCAAAGACATTTGAACTGCAGTGTCGGTGGTTCAAAGCTTACCAGCTGCTCCTTAGAAACCCTATACAGGGTCACTATGGGTCAGAACTGACTTGATGGCACTTAACAACATCAACATGTAATCAAATGGTCCACACACTAAACTAGAAAGCATATGTTAAAGTTTTCATAACTCTTAAGCATCTGAAAACAATTCTATATACTGCTTAATGGATGCACATAAATATACTAAAATATAGAAATATACACAAAAATTACAAAAAACCAATTTACAATAATGATTACCTCTATGAGGAGTAGAGGGGTAGTAAGGGAAAAGGAACATTTTATTTGGGCAGGGAACACCACACTGCATTCTATCTTATAAAAAGAAACAAGCATGTAAAAACACATTTAATCAATCAATACTGAGTAATATTCCATAAATTCTGAGAATACCAGGCAGTGGTTAACAGGGATAGATGCAGCGATGAAGCAAGAAATTAGGACTTTCCACTCTCATGAAAGTTGCATTCTAGTGGAGTCAAGACAGCATATGAAACAAGTAAATTACAGACTAGGATAGAGGATAAGAAGTGTTATGAAGAAAAATACAACATACAATGGCAACAGTTCAGAGCAATGGGTGGAGAAAGTTGTTATATTATTTTCTCTACTTCTCTATGTTTGAAATATAATTTTAAAAGGAACCAGCTTAAAAAAAAAAAAAACCTACACTACTGTGTGGCACTGTAGGATCAGCACTGGACTGTGAACCGCAAGGTCAGCAGTTCAAACCCACCAACTGCTCCTTGGAACCCCTATACAGGGCACTTTAACATATCAGCACTGTTCCCATACCATCTGCTCAACCAATCATAATTCATCATCTCAAACAAATGTTTAACAGGTTGTTAGGTCAACAAATTAATTACACAGCTGCAAAGATGCCAAAGCAGCATATTTCACATTTTCCTAGTGGATCATATGGAACAGTGCTTCACTAGCAAAGATCCCACTGACAGTGAGACTGGGCTGATGCCATATAAAAATGTAGTCTTTTAAGCAAAACATTAAACATCAGAAAACAACATTTGAAGTACAGGTTTATTTTTAATTTTGCGAATACATAATAAAACATACGCTATTTGAACAATTTCTACATGTATAGTTCAGCAACATTGGTTACATGTATCAAGTTGTACAACCATTCTTGCTAACTTGTCCCAAGTAATTCCAATCCCCCTTAACACAGCATAAATGCCCCCTAAGCAAACATTCCCTCTAGCCCTCTCCCTTCACTCCCCGTCTTACCCCCAGCCCCAACTCCTGGTAACCAGTAACCATCTTTGGGTTTTTATGTATTTGCTTACTCACATAAGTGAGATTAAACAATATTTAACCTTCTGTGAATGACGTATTTTGCTCAGAATGTTTTCAAAGTCTATCCATGTCGTGGCCTGCAGTTTACTCCTCATA